ATAAATATTTGGTGTTAAAATTAATAATATCCAAATATAGTAGCCAATGCTAGTTACGCGGATTTGTACTATCCCCAACGATTTCGTGGCAAATCCTTTGTTGTCGATCATAGCCTTGCATCTTCGAGGCATAGATTCGATCAGGTGATCAATAAAACTCTGTGGAATCGCTGCCCAGGCCTTTTGGATTTTTTCAAACAGTTGATCCTTATTACGAACACCTTCACAATTAATTCTGCGGTTGACAACCTCTCACAGGTTCTTGATAGGGTTGAGATCCGGAGATTGAGGCAGCCAATCTATCACCGATAGGTGGTTGACTTGAAACCACTGCTTGACTACTTTTGCAGTGTGTTTCGGATCGTTGTCTTGCTGAAAAACTCATTTTATTGACATATTCCATTCAGCATGAGGTAACATAGCATCTTTCAGGATATGTTTATAATGAAACGGTCCACTATTCCATCAATTCGATGTATTTGATCTAGACCGTTAGCAAAAAAACACCGCCAGACCATTACATTGCCTCTACAATGTTTCACGGTCTTATGGCAGTAACGTAAATCGAGGCGTTTTCCAGTCTACAACAAATACCATTGCTCCCAATGATATTGAACTTCGATTTATTACTAAACAGGACATTTCGCTATTTCTGAACATTCCAGTAAATATGAAATGAAGCAAACAGGAGTCTTTTCTTCTGGTTCTTTAGTGAACTAAGGGGTTTCTTTGCAGGGCGTCGAGAAAACAATCCGGCTTCAACAGCACGTCGTCTGATTGTTCGGTCCGATACAGGCAGCTCTAATTGCTTTTTTATCTCGACTGATGATTTCCAGGGATCCTTCTTGACGGATCTGACAATCATAGAATCCTCTTTAGAAGTGGTGGAACGCGGTCTTTCACCTTTGTTATGTGATGTTAACTTCCCGTAGAACGATATTTGGAACATAGTCTTGATACGGTCCATTTTTTCACGCGATATTTATCACAAATACTTTTTTGTGACATTCCACTTGCGTAATCGCCAATAATTTTCTTTCTTAGTTTCAATCCAAGACTGTTGGGAGTCATTTTTGCACTTGAAGTCATAAAAATAATAAAAATAATCACGCTTCTCAAGGCTTACCGTGTTACATTTACCTTGTGATGATACAATAATATTCTGTGGAACACAACGTCTTGGTTGGATGTGGACTGTATTGATTTAATAAAACACTTGTTGTATTTCACTTTTTTTATTGATGTTCTTTGATAAAACACTTTGATAAAACTCACTTTGATAAACTGTCTTGATAATACTGACTGATTGAATTCCATATACTGACTGAATTACATGTCGGTTTACATGTCTCTTATATAGTAAAGTGAACCTGTGTGAACCTGTTCTGGAAGATTCTAGATGCTTTTTTTCAATGCTTCTGGAAGCTTCTAGATGAGTCTGGATGCTTCTGAATGTTTCTGGAAACATCTGGAAGCTTTTGCATGCTTTTGGAAACTTCTGGAAACTTCTGGATACTTCCTTTAATTATTAAAAAACTTCCATAACGTTGACACGAACCAAACTTAAGAAAATGAAACAAATCAAAAAAGTTATTTTGTCCACTGCAGAATGGCACTTGTCAACGAAACTCTGCCTGTCTGCTGTCACCTGTCAGCTGATTGCTCATGTAATGGCACGCTATGACTCCAGACTCCTGAACTGTTTGCTGTGGTAGTATAGTTCGTTTCGTTTTTAAGACATATATATATATATATATATATATATATATATATATATATATATATATATATATATATATATATATATATATATATATACATACATATATATATATATATATATCTATATATATATATATATATATATATATATATATATATATATATATATATATATATATATATATATATATATATATATATATATATATATATATATATATATATATATATATATATATATAATTATATATATATATGATTATATATAAATATAACTGTATATATATAATTACATATATATATATATATATATATATATATAATTATATATATTTATAAAAATAATATAACAAAATAAACTGTATTTTTATATCCTGTTGAGAATTTAGACGAATTAAAGGTATTTTAATGGAAAGACTTTATCGGCTGTTCCACGTGACAAAAATTATCTAGCATTTTCCATCATTAAAAGAAATGACAGTAGTTCAGCTCTTTTGAGTATTTTGAAATATTTTTTTGTAATGTCTGGCATACTTAAATGGTGTTATAATAGTTTCATAATATTTTTAAAATGTTTTGTAAACAATTTTAAAAATATTATGAAAGTTTACGTCACATCGTGACGTCACGGTGTGACCAGTACAAAATCTTTGAATATTAAGACAATCACATCATCAAAAAGATAGTTGAAATAAAAGAAATCAATTTATTGGGATTTTTATAAGATTGATATAACAATAACGTTTAACAAAACAGTTTATTTACAATAATTTTAAAGAAAAGTCTTGTAAAATTCAACTACGTTTTTTTATTAAATTTTATTTAGTTAACTAAGTAAGATGCATTTGAATAAGGTTTCATTTCCATTTTATCATTAAACTATTTGCAACGGGCACTAAATATTCTAAATATCCTATATGGTCCTTTATCATAATAGGTTGCAAAGTAATTCCAGCAAATTTTAATTTTGTGCTTGCTTTCAAGCCATAGAATTTAAGCTACTATGTAACAATTTTTAAATTGATTGCTAGGACCATCAGACCAAACTTGCAAGTATTTTACATCCTTTCTAATAAGGTTAGTTATTAACAATTCAAAAAAATAAATAACTAAACTTCTTGAATGGTTTAAATCATCTGAAATAATAACGGCAGATTTACAAGAATCACCATGCCAGCTAACAACAGTAAATAATGTTACTAATTTTTTGTTCCAATGTGCTGACTGAACTTCATCCTGCCACAAAGTTAAGAAGTTTTCTGCAAAGTTAACTTGTAACAAAACTGAATCAAGATTGCTTTTTAAAACTATTTTTGGTTTTCATAGCTCAAGAAAAAAAAGGAATTTAAGTAGCATTTTGCATACATTGTTATACAAAATAATGGCTTTGTCTTTTTTTACTGCTTTTTCGAAGTACTTAGTTCCATTAAGTTGCGTAACTTTTTCCCAAAGGTACTTGGTAATTTCTTTATTGTGTTTTTTTTCATCTAATTAGTATGTTTTGAGAAATTACTCTCCGTCTTAACAAGCTTCACAAAGATTATTCCAATAACTACCTTTTTTCTCGTCATACACTAAAGTATTTGGTAAAGCATGCGAATAAAGGGGAATTTTAAATCGATGAAATGTAATGCTTTGAGTGATAAGATAATATTTTCATGTTTTTGACATGAACAAACATTACTAGGCATTAAGCTTGATAAAAGTATATGGTTTGGTCACAAACTAGCAAACTTAGATTTACTGATTGAAAAATCAGTGTGTTCGTTTTTAAATATTTAATATACTTCACTTATATTCATTGTTAAATACCTTTTATGCATTTTCTTTTTTTCTTTATTACTTCTTATATCGATCGTATCTCTTACTCCAGGTGCCTGACGGGATATACCATCTAGTTCAAAAAAACTAATGACGCATAGCTTCGTTTCATCATTAAGAGCATTAGGTCCATGTGTTGGTTGCATATCTGGTAAAACTTTGTTAAACTGAATAGCAAGTTGTTTAGCAACAGTTGCTTTTTTAAGAGAAGAGAATATATTGCTTTTTTAACAGCTTTCCCAAGTGTACAAGATGATTTGTAAGCAGCAGAGATGTTAGATGTTATTTTAGATGAAGAAACTCTACTCTTTTTTTTCTTAACTTGTCCTTTAAACGCACTAATTCAACATTAGAATTTCGTTTTTCCTTTTTCTATTTAAAATTAGTCTTCAAAAAGTTTTTTTTTTAAAAATGTCACGCCGCGTCGTCATAACGTGACATAAACTTAAGACACATAAAACAAAAACTAAAAATATTTAAATTTAAATATCTATTGATATTTATTGCCCTATTTTAGTTACAAGTAATTTATAAATATTAATTTAAAATAAATAAATATTCTTACGCTAGAATGAAAAATGTTACTATTAGTGTCACAGCGTGACAAACCTAAAGAAGACCAAATAGAAATTTCTCAATGAAAGACTATTTAATTAATATAATAAATTTTCAATTTGAAAAGCAAGAGCCCCATCAATATTTTGCGTGAGATAAATCTACATAGAAGTTTAAAAAAGTTTAAAAAAAGGTTTCAAAATGATTTACTAAAAAGATAATTTAAATTTGAAGTCTATAAAATTTTGTTTAAAGTTTAAGCATCAAATCCTAAAATTCTTCTAAAATCAGTTCTACATGTTACATGGTTTTAGAAATTAAAAAATTTCAACTTTTGAATTATACATTTAGTTTTTTATTTTCTAGGATTTGAAATTCATATTAAACTTTTTGTACGTGGAATAGCCCTTATGTAGATTCTTAGTTTTTATATTTAATGAACAACAAAGAATTTACAAAAATTTGTTTTAATCAATTTCATCAAACTATGAATATCAATAGTTTTTTCATTTTGCACCATTTTACACCATCTTACACCATCATCATTTTACACCATTTTACACCATCTTACACCATCAATACTAAATAATCCTATTAATCCAACTGAACAATCTAGTGTTTAAAAGCAAAAAAATAAATAGTTAAAATAAAATATAATGAATAATGTATTATTTATAGAAAATATATATATTTTTAAAATAAATTTTCATAGATGTCATTTTTACAAGAACAAAATACGCTTGTTTTTGGTATTTTTACCGTAGAGAATAAGAAATGTTTGAGAGTGTTTTATTTTGGTGAAATCAAATTAAAACACTATTAAACATTAGAAAAGTATTTGGTTGTATCTAAACCTAAAAAAACTTTACGGCTGTAGAACTGTTTAACTTAAACGAACTTACTGTGGTATTCCTTCAGAAGGATTTTGCCATGAAATGGTGAAAGTTAAATGTAAAATATCTCGTGGTATAACTGACAATACAAATACAGTTGCCATAATGACTAACATTTTCATCACGCTTTTATTTTTATTTGTTGTTTTTGAAGAACTGCTTCGTAAAAGTATCATCCTCTCACAGTTGTGAAGTTTTATATATACAGCTGTTGTTGTTGCGGTAAACACAACAATAAAAATTAAAGACCTGGCCGTCACCATTGCAATCAGCGGGTGCGCGTAAGAAGGGTCATTAACTTCAGCAGGATTGCAACGACCAAATTTATCTATTATTAAAGATTTTATATAATATACTTCCCAGACAATCGATATTGCAACTGTAGCAAACATAGCAATGTGTATAGTTGTTCGTCGAAAACGTCTTTTTAACGGAAAAACTATTGAACGACATCTATCAATCGCCATTATAAGTATGACACCAGTCGATATATTTGTAACTATTCGGCTGAATGGTGGTATTATTTTACACCCAAGCCATCCAAAATCCCACCGTTGATAGCAGGTTAACGTCCAATATAAAAAAACCAATGGGTTAAATAATGAACCTAACCCATCAAACACAGCCAGGTAAAAAATAAGTAAATCAATAATTGGTCTTTTCTTCAGTTTAAACTTAAAAATAATAACAACTAATGTGTTTCCAATAGATCCGATAACAATCACCAATAAATATCCTACAACTAATAAAATGTTTGCATATGCCAAATGACATTTATTAAGAGGTGTTGAACTAGTTTTGTTTATCGAACTCGTTATATTTGACTGTAGGGCTGACATGATGTTTGTTGATTATTTGACTTAAAATAAAAAAAAAGGTAAAGTGAAAGAATAAAAATAAATAATAAAAACACAAGAAATAAATTTTTCTTAGGAAAAAACAAATAAAGAGTGTGTAGAAAAAAACAATTTCAGAAAATATGAAAATTTATTTTTTCTAAACAAAATTATTTCTTAAAAAAAAAAAAAATGCTCTAGAAAAGCAAATTATAAAAAAATGTTTTTTGTAACAATTAAAATTAAATGAATTTAAGTCTTAATGAGATAAATATTTTTCGGGTAATATAGCAAGATGTATATATAAACAAGTTAAAGATTGTTGTATCGTCCAACTTTCCTTACCTATTATTTTATTTCCCATTCAATTTTATAAATTATCAATATAAATACGGAATAATGCATTTTTAGTATAATAAAACAAATATATATAAAAAAAACACACACAAAAATAGTATTGATTATGTTAAAAAAGATATAAAAGAGATCTGGTAATGATTTTAGATCGTTGCTCAAAACCATTACCAGGTATCTCAAAAATTGCTGAGAATCTAAAAAGTTTGATAGAATCGATTAAACTAATTATATTTTATGTTTGTTAAATAAATTCTTCTTTAATACTTTGTGGTGTATTCGCGAAGCCACTATTTATTACATTATTCTGCCTGTTTCAAAACATACTTAATGCTGAATTATTCAAAGTTGCAAAAGTTTAGTATACAGTTATATAGTATTATTCATTAAATCAAATATATTAATTAGTTGTAACCGATTAACGTATTACTGCACAATCTAATATCTAGTGCAATATCTGCCCGCTATCTATTAGCTATCTTTTTAACTCGACTTTTTCTGTCTGTCACTAATATTCTTTGTTCTTCTTAAACTCACTTAGTCTTGGTCCGTTAAAGCAGATTATGAAGCTCTTTAGTGCGCTGAACTCGTCACGGCGGATCTTAGTATGTGGCCTCTATATGACAATCGGACGAAGGAGGATAAACCACAATACCAGTTATATAGTATTATAATATACTCGAAATAACTTTGGTCAGCAGATTATTTTTTATTTGTAGTAAAATCTGTTTTTTTAAACCCATTATCTTTAATCTTCAATAGTTAAAGTTGCTCATGAGTGTCACTGTGACACCTTTCATATAATTCAGTATATCAAAGTATACCAAGTAGTATAAATATCAAGTTTATCCAGTAGAGGTATCAAAAGAGGTATAAAATATCATTATATCTTCAGTATATCAAATAAAAGTAGAACCAATCATAAAATATTAACAGTAACTTGTTTCAAGGTTTCAGCCTACTTTCCATTTAACAAACAGACTATAAGAGTAGACTGCTTGCCTTAAAATCATGAGGTTTGAGTTCAAATCCTCCTTACGCCTCATGAAGTACCACGCGCAATCTCTTTCGATTTATAGCAACGTTGTTTGAAAGGTTCGAATTTCGGAGTTTAAAGTTAAAATAAAGACTTGCTAGCTTAAAAAAATAAATGCAATAAGTATGCTTCTTTTTCAACTTTAGTAGTCTCGTTTGGGGCTTTGGCAAGGTGAATTAAATCAAAATTAAAAAAAATTAAATCAAATCAAAAAAAATCTATTATGAGGCTTTAAACCTGTAAACCCATATTATAAAAACCTTAAACCTTTATAATATGGATTACCACCGTTTCATGACCAAATATGGCACTTTAAGCTTTGTTAATGCTTACTAACTTTATAAATAAAATATTAAATTTCATAAAATAACATTTCCCAAAATACTAAAACGTTCTTAGATATTATTCAATATTTTTAGTTACTGATTGGGCATTTAATTCAAAAATAGTGAAAGTAGGCAAAAATATTATTTTATTTCTAAATTATTTATTTAATTACATATTTCTAAATATTTCTTATTTAGCTAACCTTAGATTTTTCTTTCATGCTAAAACTATTTCAAAGTGCATTAACGTTTAACATATTTTGGTAAAAAAATTATTTATTCAGATATTGGTAAAATATGTAATTCGAAATCAATATTGTACAATTTAAGTAAAAAAAAGTAAACAAAAAAACCATTTGAAAACATAGAAATAATTGTTAGATAAAATAATGAAACTTTTAGTTAAAAAAAACATCGGCCACATTTACTATTAAAAACGCTTCCAAGGATTTGTCAAAATATAACTTATTTATTATTTGGCTGTAAAACAATTTCGTATTTACTCGATAAAAACTAAATATGAAAATAAACCTGGTCGTCTGGGTGTCTTGCGTAATATTAATAACAATATGATGAGAAAAAATAATAGCATTAAAATCAGTCTATTTTAAACGAGACTAAATGGTGTTTGTACGAAACCAAATTTAGAGAAATTTTTTTTAATCAAAAAGTAAGGTTTTTATGCTACAATTTGTATTTGAACTAAAAACTAAATATAATTTCTGTGAAAAACTAAATAAAAAATCATGATGAAAAAATAAATAAAAAGGCAAGTTTTAACGAGTTTTTATGAGAAAAACATGGCCGACGACACGGGTTTTGAAATGGGGGTGGTGGTGCAATTGTAAATTTTTTTAAAAAAATGCTCTATATCTAGAATGTTCTTTAAAAAAAAAAGTGGTGAGGTACGTGCCCCCCGATCCCACCCTACCCTTGGTGTCGTCGGCCTTAAAAAATATCTTTTGTACTTTTTTTTTTTTATATGGAAAATTAAAAAAATTTTAACTAAATAAAGATGCACCATATAAATTGTTTGACAAGTAAAAATAATACCAAATAAAAAAAAAAAATTAATTGATGTAAATGTTGTCTAATTAAGTTTAGATAAAAATAGAACGACAATATTTAGAACAGCCGTAAAACAGTGGTTAGAGTGATTAGTTATTGGTGCTATTGATATATCCTCAAAGGAGCACCAGAATCAGCTGAGCATCATTTGAGATTCTACCAATATTTTATCTTCAACCGTTTTCAGTTTTTAGTTTTTGGATCTGAAATATATATTTTTTTCATTTGAAAAATTGTTTGTTTAGTAATTTGTTTTATTCTTTAGTTTCGACAAAAACAAAGTATAAAGTTTTAGTTATACAACACTGAGTGTTAATTTTTATTTATTTCACTCTCTCTCTCAATCGATCATTTAACACATTATTCTCACTTAACCAAGCAATAAAACTTACAAATAATAGCAATTAACTAAACAGTACTGAAAAACGGTTTACATTTATGAACTGCTTTAAAAAAAAATGTAATTTCTTGATCAAACGTAACAGTAATGTTTTAGTGATTCAGAAAAAAATGAAAGTTTACCGTAGAACGGAGTGACTTTGTTAGGATTTTGAGCATTTTTGCAAAATAAATCTGGTTCATTACAATTTTTTCTGATTTTTTTTTTCCCGTTATAACATTATACCTTTCCTTTATATAATTCCATTAAATATTTTTAATTTTTTTTTGTCTTAATATATATATTTTTAATCCAAAATGTTATCAATCTCACCCCGTCGTTTGGGGTGACTTTGATAGTCTATTATTTCTTAATGGCTTATTGATTTAACCCTCTTTACAGTGTCGCTAATACTTTCTTTTTGACTTTTACTAAATTAGAACACAACATATTAATAAACTTATAAGATTTACTGGTAAAATTATAAATTTAGACAACAAGTTTGGTTATCGAATATATCTACAGAATGGACAAAGAAAAAACAAAAATAAATTTGATGTTAATATGCTAAACACAGAAAAATAATATATCAATAACATTGTTATAGTAATTAGCAGTTATAAAATAACACTAACAAAAAAATAATGCTAATTGCATATAAATATTAAGTACTTATAATATCCTTTAGTTGTTAACTCAATTCAAAATTAAAAAGATTTAATTTTATATTATTATATTATTTTATTATTTTATATTATTAATATTAAAAAATTCAAAAAAAAAAAAAAACATATATATGTGGTATATTCCAGTGGTATTATAACTGGAAAATACCACTTGAACATCTAAGTATAGATTTTTAGAAAAAAAAAAATTTCAAAAAAATTAAAATCACAAGATTTTTTGGCATTTTTTGGTACGTGTAAAAATCGTTAGTTTTTTGTTATAGTCATGTTATTCCTAACACATTTGCACAATTTAGAATCACTTCACAATCATTAAAATTTCAAAAATATTAGCAGAATATAACTATGTACAAGAATAAAAAAAAAAAATAGTCTCTAATTGTGCAATTTCACATTCAAATCATTATTTTTGTAACTAACAGACGAAATTATCAAAGTCACCCCGCGTATCAAAGTCACCCCGCGTATCAAAGTCACCCGCGTATCAAAGTTCTACTTTCGACGGTACTTAAGGCTAAGGTTTTTAAACTTAAGGCTAAGATTTTTTACACATGCTTATGATGTTATAAATTAAAAAACGTTTTTCTTATATGTAATAACCAGTCTAGCGAGTTTGAAAAAGCCATTTTAGCAGGATAGTCAAGCGATTTTAACACTTAAGAAATTTATCATTTAGCATTTAAAATGCATTTTGTTTTTTTAATTTCTTTTTGAATCTGGGTGCCCTTTTCCCTTATATATTTTATAAAACTTACCCAGAGGTGACACTGAACCAAAGATCTTCTGAGACAAGCGAGCTAACCACTGCGCTACGGCTGCTAAATAAATTGTTAACCCTTAAAAACAATATTGTGAACTCAATACGAAATAAAATGCTTTTGAATTAAACAATACATATTTTTGAATAAAAGAAAAAAGGCTAAGACTGAGTTAACTAAGTGATAAACTTATTTCATGATATTGTTGTTTTCATGATATTGTTGATTAACTTTGAATAGAAATTCTATAGAATTTCTATAGGCCGTATGTTCCAAAAGTTTATAGAAATTTGATAGAACTTTTTTTACTGGGTTTTTACTCCGTACTTATAGACATATCTGTTAAGGAAATATACTTCTTTTAAAACATATCTTAAATTTTACAGGTATGTTTCTCTTAAGACTATCGACTACTAAAAAAAGAAGTCTACCGACTACTAAAAAAGTTTGAAAAATCGATTTTTTTCTTAATTTTCGGCCTATTATACATACATATATATATATATATATATATATATATATATATATATATATATATATATATATATATATATATATATATATATATATATATATATATATATATATATATATATATATATATATATATATATATATATATATATATATATATATATATATATATATATATATATATATATATATATATATATATATATAGTTTTTGGCATCATAGTTTTTGACGTCATACTGAAATAGCTTGCTACCGGGGGCTTCAGTATATACACACATATAAAACAGAAAGTGAGATTTTAATCTATCAAAAGACAAGAAAAATTAAACAAAAAAAATTTTTACCAGTCACCACCTAATGATTTGTAGAACTTTAGATTGACTATATATTTAGGTAAATTTGATTATTTTTAGATATTTTGAAGTTGATATCTGCTATCATATGTGTTTCGTGATACGGATAATCTGTAGCTAAATGTATACTATAAATTTAATGTTAAATAAATTATTCAAAAATAAATATATAAAAATGTTCAAATACACAAGCATAAATAAACTATTATAAAAAAGTGTCTTTGAAAAAAGTAATATAAAAAATATATAATTATTGGCAGAATATGAACTTACTTTTCGAGGTATCCCAGAAAACATTTTATAGTGGAACTTCAGTGGACTTATATAGGCATTTTGAGCGGACCACTGTAGTTTTACTTACCGGTTACTTAGTGGACCTTTAGTCGCGGCCGACAAAAGTGGCTAGCCGATGACTAGCCACAATTATTATATCGAAAAATTATCGGCTTGCCATTTACAGCGGCTGCCACTAATAGTCCACTAAGTAACCGATGAGCAAAACTCCAATGAACAGCTAAAAAGTGTATATAGGTCCCCTATACAGGTCCTATATAGGTCCTATATAAGTCCTATAGGTCCCCATATATAGGTCCCCTATACAGGTCCATTGCAAATCCAAAACAAAACATGTTTGCTGGGATAGGCTGAATGGTAAAAAATCTTATTTAGTTATTAGATGCCAATTCTGACATAAATAAGTATAAATAAATATATAAACATGAATGTAATATATATATAAATAAATAAATAAATATAAATATGAATGTAAAAAATATATATTTAAATATGATACTAATGTTCGCAGTGTAAAATAAATCATCAAATATAAAACTTTTTTTACATATTGTTATAATTACGTATGAATACTTGTTTATCTGTTTAATATCAAAAAACGCCATTTGTTATAAAAAAAAGATATGATTTAATAAAAAATGGGCGTGTACCAAAGAAGGTGAGAACGTGTAGCCCGTTTTAATTTTTTTAAATCATATCTTTTTTTAATTAAAAGGTTCAACATATATTTAAAAATGTTTCATTTAATTTAAATATAAAAAGGTGAGGTTGATATCCTCCGTTTTCAAAACTCGGATGTCGTTTATATTAAATAGATAAAAATAAAAAACTATTGAAAGCTAAAATGGTCTCTTTTCGTTGAAGATTTTTCATGGGAAGACCAAAACCATCTTATCGATTATGTAATAAAAGTCTATCGTGCGATATAACCATGTCATTATATTTATAGTCATTTATTTACTTTTTAATGTTTTAATTTTATCAAAACAACGAAATACATTATTTTAAACCACTAGTTTTATTAAAATAATTGGTCAAAACAACAAATCAGTAGATTATTTAAAACATTTACAATGACTTGGTTACTAGATCACTATTGGTTAAAAATATAAGTTGAATGTTTTAAAGCTGTAAAAGTTACTCACATCCGAGATGAATAGACAAAAAATATAAATTAGAAATATTTCAGGATGTCTACGACACCTTTTTTACAAAAATATTTTCCACCTTGTTAGAGTTTCTTTTACTGTTAAAACTTGTTACCTTTTTAAATTAAGTACCTTCCGCCTTCTTCTTCAACATATCTAAGAGATCTTTCAGATTAAATAATGTTTTTTAAAAGTTTAAACAAACAGTTTGAATATTTAACGACGTTTTAATTCAAGAAAAAGAAGAAAATTAAAATGTTTTATTTCTGAATAGCTTTTTTTGAATTGTTTTATTGACATTTTAAAACCTTTTCTAAATATATTAGTGAAGATATATAACATTATTTAGAATATAAAAATATTACTTAAAATATGAATTAGAAAAACATTTTAAACAAAAATAGATTTAAGACTCTGACGGCGTTTGGTAAGCCAAACATTTGAGTTTAAAATCTTTAACATAAAGTTAGCCTTAAATTAGTTTTTTAAACAAATATCCTAAAAAAAATTGAATATATATATGTATATATATATATATATATATATATATATATATATATATATATATATATATATATATATATATATATATATATATATATATATATATATATATATTTATATTTATATATATTTAAAAAGTTATACAACAATACATTAAACGAAAGCTTAAAAATGTGTCCAAAATCCTCATGTAATTAGTTCTTAATAGAAATTTCTTAATAATTGTCAAGTTGCGCGCAAATTTTTGACTTCAATAAGCGAATAGTACTCAATTAAAAAATGATTTATTCAGTTAATGAGTTTCATGGTTTTAAAACAGTCAGTTTTGAAAATGTTTTTTTTTTTTTATTATTATTGTTAAGGATTTTTGTAAATATCTGCCAGTGGATCTTCATTAAAAGACATTAGACAACAATCAGCGAATTTTTTGATTACTTAAAAGCAAAAAAAAAAAAAAAATTTTTTTGCAAACCAAAATAAACTTGATAAAGACACTTTTGTTTCTCAAAAGTTAAAAAATTTTATGACTATAACAGAATTAACAAGCTGTCTTAATTATTTATTTTTTTTACTATTTATTGTTTTAATTATTTATATAAAGTAAACAACAACAGACTTTATGTCAATTACTTGAAGAATTTAAAATTTAGATTTTTTTTAATTAAAAAAAACATTTTTCGCATTTAACGAAAAGGTTTTAATCGACTATACAGTTAAAGGTTGATAAAAGGCAGAAAAGGCGAGTTTCCACTCATCCGTTTTTTCACGGAAACGGGAAAGGGACGGAAAAAATAATCACGTGGGTATGCGTAGTATAAGTTTTAATATGTCCGAAGGAAAACTACACATGCTCACGTGATTATTTTTCCCATTCCTTTCCCGGTCCCGTTAAAAATCGGATGAGTGGAAACTCACTTTTAGAGGTCGTAGTAGTTTTGCTGCTTTCACCTATGTTGTCTCACGCGTTGTTAATTTTTTTTTATTAAGTTTATCTTTCATAAGTAATTTTTATTACGGTTCATAAGTAAGTATAAACACGTTCGTAGCAAGATTTAGATAATAAAATAGAATATAAAAAAAAATTGCAAAAACGAAAATGTTATAATATTAGGACGCTGTCTTCCTTCTTAATACTGACATGTGGTCACACTTTAAAATACTGCCATGCTACCACACTTGCTAATACTAACATGTGCTCACGCTTCTCAATATTGATATGCTGTTACTTTCTAATATTTACATGTGGTTACACTTTTAAATATTGGCGTGCTGTCACTCTTTCTAATATTGACATATAGTTCCTATTACACTTTTTATTATTGACATGTGGCCACACTACCTAATATTAACAAGCCATTTCCAACTTTTAACGATATGAAAGATATTAAAAAGATATTAAAAATAATCAATTAAAAAAATCAAATTTAACTTTTTGAGCAAACGTGGCACAGCCGTTAGAGCGATGGCCTTAGATTTAAGAAATCCGAGGTTTGATGTCTCATCATAGAAGCAACATCGGTAAGGAAGGTGGCGTGAATTTTCTTATGAAATCCTGTCTGCGGATTCTTAGGTCTTTTTGATTAATAATCTATAATCTTAGTCGGACTAAATTTTTATTTGTTCCAAATAAAAATTTAGTCCGACTAAGTTTTAAGCTATATTAACTAATCAATACTTTAAACTTATTAATAAATATCTTTTCTTATATAAATAATTTCTTAAGAGGATATGCGTGGTTTTGTTTGTTTTTTGTTTTTTCTTATAATGATAAGTGACTTTATGGTATATCTATTAAAATCTATGGTTTGTTTGAGTTATAAGCTCTATATTTAAATTACATGTTGACCAAAGACAACTTACAGGATTTTCAGAATGCAATGAAGCTGCAAACAAAGTTTAGAAGGAACTATTGTTGACAACTTTTCTGTAGCTTTTTTTTTTTTTTTTTTTTTTTTTTTTATTCTCATAAAGCTGGAGTTTTATTATTCTCCATTTTACTGAAAATAAAACCAGAAAACGTCTAAAAAAAAAATGTAAAATAAAAATATATGAATAAAAATTTTAATAAAAATCAAGTAATTATTGTTTTTCGGTAATTATAATGATTTATTGAAGGTTTATAAAACTTTAAAAAAATATTTTTTAATATCTGTATGCAATATATTTGTAAATACAAATATTTAGTGAAAATATTGAGTAACATATTTTAAAAACCACTTTTTAAACTCAGAAATTATGTTTCAAACTCTAGCGTTGTGGAATAACCTAGTTATTAAAACATTCTTTGGACGTTTTAGTTAGGTTTAAACCTAATAAAAACGTCCAAAGAACGTTTAAAAAACATGCCCACTTGGAAGTTAATACATTGAATTTTTTAAAAATCATTTATGTAAAGTTATGCTGTAATATTGAACCATAAGGTATATATTTGCGGTATTTTTCGTTTTCGAAACACGCAGCCTAAGCAACAATTTTAAAAAGTTTTTTTTTTGTACCTAAATGGAAACATATTGAAACCAAATAAAGGCTGATCAACACTTTCTAATGGTTTCCATGTAAGCCTGACGGGATAACATCATTTTGTATTGTTATGTATGAAATGAAGAAAGTTTTTTATCTCTCCTGAAAAGTTTGCTTCATGCCCTTTATGCAGTGTTGTTTTTAACTAACTACTTATAAAAAAAAATTTATCATACTTTTTAATATTGCTTGTATACTTTTAAAAACAAGTCGCGTTTGTAAAATAGAGTAAATAAGAGCTTTATAAATTAAAAAGCGAAGAATTGATCAATTTAAATTGGTCAAAACTTTGCATTGATTTAACGACAATTTTTTTTTAATTTGGTACTAGCTGACATAGCAGGATGTCCATATCTACTTAGTGACTCCGCGTGCTCTATATGGTCTGAATTTTGTATAAAAACAAAATATGGAATTTGAAAAACGTTTTCAAAAAGTTTACTATGCGCTGCATTGTGTTTCAGAAATAATTCTTATTGTTATTCTTATAATCAATATTTTGTTAAATTGAAATCGTTAAAAATTTAAAAACTTTTAAAATCTCTAAAAATATCCCTTAAAAAGTACGGAAGACGAAAAACAGTTGCAAGTTTTAACTAAAGCATAGCAAATACTACGCCAATCAAAAGATATACCAATGCAAATACTTAAATAATGAAAATAATAAAAGGAGAGCATAATAATAAAAAAACAATATAAAATTATAATAAGATTATGAAAATACAAAAAAAAATTTGCATAAAGTTGTTTGAAAGAAAAAAATATTTAAAAAAACATTTCTTAGGCAACTGAGGCGGTACTGTTATTGCTTATATTGTCCAATAACGACTATGCAAAAAAACGTGTGCAAAAAAACGTGTGCCAAGCAACGTTTGAAGCAATTAGGTTTATAATTTTAGGTAGTTGTTTTTTTCAAACCAATAATGCTTGATTAATAAATTATATTGTTTGCGTTTTTGTAGGTTTTTGCATCAGGTAAGTACATATGGTTTTTTTTCAAAAACAGATTGTTTGTAAAAGTTGTTGTTTTAACTTCTGTTTAAAAAAGTATTCTTGGAAATGAACACAGAAAACTGTATGACTCAGGCGCGTAGGTTGATAACTTTAAAAGGGTGGGTTAAAGTTGTAAAAATCTATTCCACAGGCTGCTGAGTATAATTTTTATCGTTTTCCTCCAGATGTTATTTGAAACTTTATCTTTATTATTTTTTTATTTGTATCTTTATATATTTTTATAAAGAAATTAAGGAAATTAACTTATATACAGTGATAGAGACTTTGTTTTAGGGCAAAACTAACTTTTTGTGAAAAAATAGCACAAAAATAAATAAAATATATAATAATAGATACGAACGTTATATATATATATATATATATATATATATATATATATATATATATATATATATATATATATATATATATATATATAAGAAAATGCCGCCTAAAATTTATATAAGCAACGTTTAACACAGGCATTGTTACCAATAACTGGTTGGTTTGTTACCAATAACTTTATTAAGTTACATTATCGCAAATAGCTTCGAAAGAAAAGGTAAACAAAAAACAAAAAGTAATATGCACTACGTTATGTTAAACTAATTCAATAAATAAACAATGAATAAATAAATTTGTTTACAAACATGCAGATGGGCTCGTATAAAATAACAATAAATAAAATATAATTTTATCTGGGCAGCTGCCCTCGTGTCCGGCTTAGATTGATTATGACGTTGATTGCAAGGTATATTAATACCCTTCAACTTTCGAATTTTGATTCTTCTTATATATATATATATATATATATATATATATATATATATATATATATATATATATATATATATATATATATATATATATATATATATATATATATATATATATATATATATATATATATATATATATATATATATAAATATACATATATATATATATATATATATATATATATACATATATATATATATATATATATATATATATATATATATATATATATATATATATATATATATATATATATATATATATATATATATATAAGATTTCGAATTTTTATTCTTCTTATATATATATATATATATATATATATATATGTATATATATATATATATATATATATATATATATATATATATATATATATATATATATATATATATATATA